TTTCCACTAATAAATTATACACCAGGAAAGTTTGCTTCGGGTAGTAAATAAATACATATAAAGCTCATCTCAGTACTAAACAGTACTCAACAGCACTCAACAGTACTAAATTACCGACATTTGCGGCAGAGGGCACCCTATTTCTTGAAACATTAATCTAAATTCACAGAACCAATACATTCAGACTGGAAAAAGTAATGCATATACATATGTAATACCTCTGCTATATACATATGCGTATGTGATCTGTAATTTAGGAACATTTTCATAATATTATTAATCTATATTATTATCATGCATTGCACTTTTTAGTATTACAATCTAAAAAAATTATAAATTATTTTAGAACCAAGGCAAACAGTCAAATGCGCCATAGAACATGGCAACATAGGTAGGAAAGTAGGAAAGTGGCCTCATCATAGTAAGCAATTCTGCTTCACCGTAGTAAGCATTTATATCCCCACCATTTTAATGCGCATCCAAGTCTGCGCAGTTGCTTTAGAAGGAGAACGGAGATGATCGAGAGAGACCGAACGAAACCAATGGTCTCCATGTGTGAATGCTACACGGACGAGGGACCTAGCCGTCTCACTTTACCGCATTTACGGTCTCACTCTTTTCGCGCATCCGTATCCTTGGCACTCCATCTGAAATACGCGGCGCGATATTTGACTTATACTTTTCGCCTAATAGAATTCTCGACCACACAGTCTAACGTATTTACGAACGTTTTAACACGGCGACCATTTCTACAGTTATTAAAATTTTCGAAAACCCATAAGTTACATCTTAGATAATACTTCCTAGTTTATGAAATGGTATAAAATTGAGAAATTATTCGTTGCTTTCGAAACTCCTTCTTGTATAGTAGAATATCGATTGCTAGCCGTTCCAGTTAACAAGTACTTGTATGGCTGAATTAACAAAATTTTGTAGATTCATAAAGTAGAAATCATTACATAAAATGTAGCTTACGGATTTTTGAAAATTTTAATAATTGTAAAAACGATTGCTGTTTCAAGACGTTCGCAAATACGCTGGACTGTGTGGTCGGGAATCCTACGGGACGAAAAGTACAAGTCGAATATCGCGCCATGTGTTTCAGATGGAGCTCCATGCAAACAGATGCGCGAATAGAGTGAGAGCGCAAGCATGGTAAAGTGAGACAAGCTACATTGGTCGTCGGTGTAACTTGTTTCGCTTGTGTTGCGTGATGTCATGCTCTCTTGCTCATTCGCCACTTCCTCTCCTTGCTTAAGACTGTGAGGGCAGCACTGTTTAACTGTGAAGCGTCAACCAATCGGGGGAGAAGCAGTTTCTCTACCTGTTTCATATTTCTAAGCCGGTTGTCCCCGTCTTGGCTTACTATGGTGAGGCCTTTTTTGTATAAATAAAAAGTACAACACACATGTATACGTACGTACATATGTATGCATGCATACATGAGTATTGTACATAAATAAATGTATAATATTGAACAGCATTTATAGTTTATTGAATAGCATATATATGTATATTGTATAGACATATACGCACTGTTGAGCATTTATAACAATATGTATGTATGTTGAATTTTGTAAATTATTTATTTTAATAATACATAATAAGATCTATGTACATTTTTCTTTAAAAATTTTTTCTAATACAGAGACATATTGTCATAAAATATATAACGTTTACTTATAACAAGTTAAATTGTAACATTACTTTTAAACAGAGAAGTTTTTGTTTATGTTTACATACATATCATGACTTGTGTTGATATCAAATCACACAGCCATGTTTAGCATCATTTAGCATGGAGTAGTCACGTACATATTAAGTGCAAGGTATTAGCAAGGACCAACATTAACTACATAAAAGACTGGAATAGATATCAGTAACATTTTTTGTTATTTAAAAATTGTAATATAACTTCTTAAATTATTATGCATAACAACAACGAAGTTTAACATCTTGTTTAACCTCTAAATCTGACAATTTTATTAATTTCTAGATACTTGTTCAATGAAGTTTTTGTGGAAAATATTGAATGTGAATGATATTTGTGTATAATCATCTGACGGTACTTATTAAAACTCTTTATATAATTGTAATTACAAATAATTTCGATTTATCGTGTTAATCTAAAAATTCTATATTATAATAATCAAAGTTACGTTGCGTTATATCTTTAAAAATATATTCGTGTACTACGTTTTAGTTATCAGTTTTTAAAAGTATTTGACGAATAAATTATTTACATAGCACTGTGGTTTTTACAAGGTAAATTTAGAAGAATAGTGGTGTAATCTTGATGAACATGGCATCGGCAATCGAAATTTTATGGAAACAAGCATTAAAAACATTTGATGGACGAAGAAATGTCGGATTCAAACTTTGCCAAAAGAATTTTGATAAATTGTGGAATTTAATGAATAAAATTACAGCCGAGGATGTCAATTTAAACAAACAAGTTCTTGATTTTATACAAATACAATCGGCACCAATGTGTGTTATTGATATATTTGAAAATAAAGATTTGACTATTTCAATTTTTATATTGAAACATGGAGTCACAATGCCTATGCATGATCATCCTGGAATGCATGGCTTCTTGAAGGTATGTAAATTAAATATAATTTTTCTTCAAATACTAATGTATATAAACATATGTTAAGTAAGCTAACGTAGCTTTTAATTATAATGTATGTATAGGTAATTAGTGGTGCAGTTCAAGTGAACAGTTATACCTTGAAGACAAATGATGATCACATAATCAAATCAAATAAAGAAATAGATGCATTTAGACACCGACCAATATCTTTACACAATAATTCACCTGCTTGTGTTCTTACACCTCGGGATAAAAATTTGCATGAAATCTCATGCATCGAAGGTCCTGCTGCATTCTTAGATATACTTAGTCCACCTTATGATGAAGATGATTCTGGAAATGGTCCAAGACCATGCACATACTTCAAAACTATTAGTTCTACGTCATGCATGGATTTACCAGATATTGTCGAAGAAGTCAAATTATTAGCATTTGAAGGACCACCAAACTTTGATTCTGAAAGTCTTAAATATACAGGGCCACCTTTAATGTGACGTGAAACATCAAAGCACGTTCTATGTTCAATTTGTTAAAGAAATGTACATTTTACAGCATTAATTTACAATTGAAGAATAATTTTAAGTGTACCATAAGCTTTTATGATCATTTGATTCCTGATCAAATATATATTCTTACTGTTTATTTATAATATAAGTAGCCTGTTATAAGTTAAAAGAAAAACATAAGTTTCATACAATATCAGTTACATTGTATTTTGTAATATTGCATTCAGTTTTATTTATTATTGCTAATACTTTATAACGTTCCAAAAATTGTTTTCTCTTTTTATAAATCACGTGCATTTT